CTCCAACTGAGTCGGGATTGGAGACACAATTTGCTTCTTGAGTGATTCTGACAACGCTTTGGATTGTTTGCCTGAAGTTTCATGATCTGTGAATGTTAAGTTATAAGCGACATAAACTGTGTTTCTGAGTGGTGTGCTCGAATTGTGGAGAAACAAGATGTATCGATTCTCATAACTGTGTGGTTAGATTTTTGCATGACAAGTCTAAGTTTCTTTTGAAAGGTGCTCAAACGTATGTCATGATGTGGATTTTTGTAGATTGACACAGAGATAAGTCAACTACTGAGTTTTTTATATCAACTAAAATTTGATTTTTGAAAAGAAAAAAATTCTTTTTGGAGTTAATGTGAAATATATGAGTAGAGGGATTGGACCAAGTTGGTTGGAGTGATAATAGAGCATGGAAACACTTATGACAAAATCACAAATATATATATATATATATATATATATATATACACGTTGGTGTTGGAAGAAAAACATTGCAGGAGTTATGAATTTGATGAATTTAGAGTTTGAATATTCAAGGGTATGGACATAGATGAGAATAGATGAGAATAGAAGAATGATGACTTATTATTGAAAAAAAAAAAATGAAAACAAGGCTATAGAAGCAGAACAGAACCTGCTCTGATACCGATTACAGAAGTCCATGTGGTTCCACCTCAAAACCAATTAGTGATCAGGGGAGTAGCCCATGGAACTTATATATTGATACTCAAAGTCTTCTAATACCGATGTGAGATTGAGACTCTTTTAATACTCCCCTGTAAGTCCAACGTATTCTTTTGGGTTGGATTTGTCCTATTTTTCAGCCCAGGCACCGCCTCATGTCTCAATCCAATTTTTTAGTTGGATTTTTTAGAGTTCGAGTGTCGACGGGCTGGCTCTGATACCAAGAAAAAAAAAAGAAATTGAAGAGCAAAGAATAAAATAAGATAAGATCTCGAAGGGCTATATTGTGCCTGAGTTAAATCTCAAAGATATAGTAGAGCTATATTTATAGGCATAATAACTAACATTCTCCTATTAGATAACAATAAAACGAATAAAATCTATCAACTATTCATCAATTATCTTCCCAGCCCTAGTCTATCTTGATTAATTCAAGAGGTGAACATGACTTTTTTTCTTGATAAAAAACTAGGAAAAATTTGTAAAAAAAAGGGCATGGTAAAGATCAAAATAATTCTTAAGGGTATTAGCATTTTGAATTTTTTTATTAATTTCTTAACTACAACTAATGTTTGCAAAAGACGATCTTAACCTTTCCTAATTTTTATGACATATACTATTTTATCCTTTTTTTTTTCTCCCAACCGTGAAAACAGAAATCCAAGGAGACTATTGCCTGCGTTCACCTACAGCCACGGCTCAAACATCTATTATCCATTAAATCAACTCCCCTGCTAATCGGAAAAAAAATACAACATCTTTTCTGGAGTAGCTCAAACAGGTTGGTTTCTCAGATTGACAAATAAAAAAAAACCCGATATTGTCGGAGATTGTGAGAGCGGGTGGCCCTTTTTTTACATGAACCGATTCGGGAAGTACTAGATGGAGAAATCGGATTGGAAAGGATCCAGAAGATTATTGATGATATAATTCAAGTCGTGAAGGAGGCGCTTGGTGTTGGCCTTTCTGCTCGTCAAATTGGTATGCCATTGAAGGTCTCTAATGAACTTAAGCTTCCTACTGAATTTAAATATGGCTTTTGGTGGAAATTCTTATGGAGGCTGTGCTTCAAATTCGGGTGGATTTTGTTTAGCAATTATCCCTTGTGGTAGTAAAAGATGGGATCTGTTACGTGATTGTGCATTATAGACAGTTAAGTTTCCATTGCATCAATGGTTGTATCCAAGCAATGAAAACACAATATAGCCCCAGTATCATGCTTTATATTATTTGTTTCTTTTTTACTCTCCACTTTGACGGTGGTAATTTGCTTTACAATTTGGATCTTTGGGGTTGCAACATAAATTATTCATTTTATAAACTTCAAATAAGGGAAACCCCATATCTTAAAGCTATGATTACTTTCCTTAGCATTCAGAATGGCATATAAGCTTTGATTGCGAATCCCTTTTATCCTTGACCACTTATTATTGATGAACGTTAGCAGAAGGCAAGTCATCATTGTTATCATGTTTACAATTTTGACAATAGGAGCATTTTGATCATACGAACCACCAACTTAAGATCGCTTTTTGAAGTTACTTATCATGTGCTTTCTGTTCAGAGTCCATAGATCTAGAACTCTTGTAGAACAGTCCCTAGAGGAGGAGGATAAGATCTAATTTAGAACTTTGATAATGGACGCTCCGAATGAATTGACCCTCAAGAAAATTGGTCTCTTATAAACAATTGGGTGGCTTCGTGGTGAAATTATTAGAAGGAGGAGGAAGAGAAGGGTAGAGAGAAGGAAGCCATGACTGCGACCGGGAATAGTTTTCTTGTTTCTGTTTTCATTGTTCAGTGAAAAAGTATAGATAACATAGTAGATGTTATAAAAATTAAAAAAAAAAAGATAAGATTGTCTTTTACAAAACCTTTGTTGTATTTAAGATAGTTATAAACAAATATAAAATACTAATGCCCCTTAAGAATAATTTTCATCTTTCCTATGCCCTTTTTACAAATTTTTCCAAAAAAACTACTCTTTTGATAATTATCTTTAACAACTAATATATACTTTACTATACTTGGTCATTCAATTCGCAAGATAAGTACAAGAGGGTATGTAGTAGTTAACTAGGGGTACTAAGCTAGAGGTGCTTAACGTAGAATACTTTCTGCTTTTTGTTAACTCAGCATAAGTTAGAACTAAGAAATCTTAGAACCGAGTAAATATTCGGTACACCCGTTGTATCACGTTAGTCAATGCAATATATAGTTTTGAGGGGAGGGGGAGAGTTTGTATTTTAGCAGGAGTTAATAAACATTCATGGGGGACAAAAAAAATAGTTCCGTATTTTTCTTCTACATATATTATAAATAGTGAATTTGTACAAAGTTTTGGTAGTATCCTTTCAAGTAAATACGTGAGAGGATAATATGAATTGATTACGAATTAATGTCATGTGGTTATTAGATTTATCTTTTCCTTTTGTTTTTAACTTATGATCCCATCACTAACATGTATAATCATTAGCGAAAATACAATACGTTTCGCATGTGCGGAATTGTGTTTTCAATAACTTTATGATGCAATAAGTTTGTTTTTTTTTTTTATTCAATTGTGAAATGTTTTAGAGTCACAAGTTTTTTTAACCACAAAAAGTTACAAAACTTTGTCAGTGTTAATCTTTTCACATTCTTTTGTATCATTAACTGTTTCCTTCAAGAGACATCATTAAAAACCGAAAAGCAAGAAGAGCCCTCTCTTTCTCAAGTCAATCGGATGTTTCTTTTTTTTAAAAAAAACTCTTAAAATGCATACGATGTGATGTATAATCAAGAAACAACAAGAAGGAAGGTAAATATTTTCTCTTTGTTATTATAATGACATCATAAAATTTTAGTAGGTTTACACCTCTTATTAGTTGATGAAGTTGTTTCTAAAATGGAATTGTGAGCAAAAGAATGATGTTTTTATGTAGCACTCAAAGTTCAAGTAGGAATCTTATGTTGAGTACTACAAACTCCTCATGTCCTAAAATTACATAGAAAAAAAGAAATCAGATTTTGAAAGAATGATGAAAAAACACTAGAAAAGACTGTTGATTGTAAGTTTTTGTTTTTCCCTTTATACTTAAAAAATGCTTATACATTTTACTTTTACTAATATATAGGTTGAAAGTAAGATGTTTTTATATTGTAAATAAACTGATTATAGAATCATTTCGGAACGAATGAAATATACATTTAAAAAAAGGTTGATTTTATCAAGTGCTTGATAAATGCAGGTGTGCGAAGTCTAATGGCCAGATTAGTATAAATGTGAGTTTAACATTAGAACATATTGATGTGATACTTAAGATCCGTTTCTCTATCAAGAAAAACAAAGAAAATGAAGGGAGCAATTGAGAATCTGCAGTCATTTTTATTTTTTTATTTTATTTAAGCTCTTGTTGTGTACCACATATATATATATACATTGAAATAGTGATGTACTATATTAATTAAATTTCTCTATTCATGCACATCAAGTGTTCATTATATTTCTTAATTCTTTCTTTTGGTATATTACATACCGGGGGTCCGAAGTCATTATTCTGACTAATACAGATTCGAGTTGGATAGGTGCTTTCGTAAGGTAAAACTCTCTCAACAAGTATTTTAATCACTCTTTTTTTAAAAAAAAAAATATGATTTTTATTATTTATTCACTATGTGTGATTTGAAGGGACGACCTAGAAGGAAAAGAAGTTTTCAAATGATCTATATGTGGTTGGTCTACGGTATTTCAATGTCGCTTCATGGTCAAATGCAAGGCTTTTACTTCACCGTTGCAATACTTACGTATTACTGATACAGTTTATAGGCACTCGATCAATTTCCTCAAGTATCTTAGGATATGAAAATTTTCGAGCGAAAGATTTCTTTTGTTTCAAATAAGAATGTACGCGAATGAGAAGTTGTTTCAGTGATAAAACCACCCTTACTTCAAGAGGAGGTCATGAGTTTAATCTCCATTCTAACAAAAAGTGAGAGGTTGACTCTCACCTTGTCTATTGACAACTCTAAGGGTTTGTTATGGCTAACCCACTAATAAACCTTCGACTTCGCATCCTAGACTTGCCAAGAGCGGGATTGCCTTGGGTGGTTTACCTCCCACTATGGTTTACAGGCTATTGCAGTGGGAGTAGGTTTAACCATCTCTTGTGGGGTTCCCGACATCACCTAAAAAAAAACTCTTATGGGGTTCCCGGCATCACCAAAAAAAAATTTACTCGTATAATTAGAATTAGAATACTGAAAAAATGGAGACACATGCTTAAGAATGCTACGTACTTAAGAATGCTTAAAACTCATGTTCAAATTAGCAAGAAATACGTATATAGGAAACTCTTTTATAAAGGAAAAAACAAAAGGAAGCATATACTGATACTTTGTGGTCTGTGTCTAATTAGGCACCACTAAGAAATTGTGTGGTGACACACATGCTTATTTTTATTACATTTCTGTCAACTCTAATAAACAAATGTATATCAACCATTGACCTGTACCTTTCAACTTTTGTTTCTCCGCTTTAATAATGGTATCAAATTCTTCTTGAATCTATACCATATAAACGAGAGTTGAACAAACTTAAGCCCCCAGTCCCCCAAATGCAGCTTTGAACTTGATATCCACAAGTCACAAATGGGTTCTTACGATTCGGAGATTGCATATGAAGTTCCACCCTACCTACGAGTATACAAAGATGGCACCGTAGAAAGATTTGTCGGCAATGGAGTTACACCGGCAGGGTTTGACCCTGTGACCGGAGTTTCATCCAAAGATGTCGTCGCAATCCCAGAAACCGGCGTAATTGCCCGGCTCTACCGTCCAGCTAGCCTGACTGAAAAAACCCAGAAGCTCCCTCTTGTGATTTACTTCCACGCAGGAGCTTTTTGCATCTCCTCTGCTTTCGACCCAAAGTGTCAAACAACTCTCAATCTGTTAGCCTCGAAGGCTAATATAATTGCGGTTTCAGTGAATTACCGGAAAGTACCGGAGGCCCCACTTCCGGCAGCCTATGAAGACTCGTGGGCAGTGATTCAATGGGTATTTTCACACAATTTAGGTGAAGGATGTGAAGAATGGCTCCGGGAAAACGTCGATTTCAGCAAGGTGATTTTAGCAGGGGACAGTGCCGGTGCCAATATTGCGCATCATATGGCAATCCGGGCCGGAATTTCTCACCGGAAATGCGGGATAAAGTTCAGAGGAATCATCATAAGGCATCCATATTTCTGGGGTGAAGAATCCATTGGAGTAGAAGCTAAAGATCCAGTGAAAAAGGCCATGGTTGATAAATGGTGGAAATTTGCTTGCCCGTCGGATAAAGGATGCGATGACCCTTTGATCAATCCTTTTCTTGATGAGAAATTCGGGGAAGCGTTGGATTGTGATCGGGTTATTGTGTTTGTAGCGGAAAATGATGTGCTGGTGGAAAGGGGACGGCGGTATTACGAGTTGCTGGTCAAGTCACGGTGGCAGGGCACGGCGGAGATGGTGGAGACGCCAGGGGAAGATCACGTTTTCCATTTGTTTCATCCCAATACTGAGAAAGCTCGCAGTGTGACTAAACGGTGCGTTGCTTTCATAAATCAGATTCAATAAGGAGAGATTTAAAAGAGGGATTGGTTTATATTGTTCTGCAGAATCCAGATAGTTTGGTTCATCGATTCCTCTGAATAAAATCAATAAATTGTAATCATTCCTACATTTATTGAAACTAGAAAGAATGATTTGTGTTTCGTCTTTTCTTGGGCAATGCAGTCTAAATACTACTACGACGTACTGTTTTAGTTACTCATCCGGTCCTTAATATAAGATATTTTGATTTGTCTAAATTTAACCTAGTACACATTTTTGATTGACGAAAAAACTTTAAAAATATATTTTCACATTCGTTATATTCACTTGATTGTTATAAAATATTGTTAAGATTTTTTGTTAATTAAAAATACATATTAGGTAAAACTTAGAACAAATCAAAATGACTTATATTAAGGACCAGAAGGAATAAAACTGTGGATCCTTCTTTTAGGTTAATGCACTATAAGTCAATAACATCTTGTGACATTTTTGTAAACACCTCATTCTTTTTTTAAAAAAAAATGGTAATATTCTATAACTAAAATGTCAGTGGTACCAATTAAATGGTTGATAAGATCATGAGTCGTTGATTACTTAATTAGATTATGGTTACTTGTAATTTCTTATCAAACGTTAAAACCTACTCTTGACATTCCATCTTTTATGGCGGGATTTATTCAATTTAAGTAGCAGTGGTTAGCATGTGTGAACGATCTAAGTTACTTCATGATTCTTCTTTAAATAACTACTTCCTCTTTCAAAAAATTATTGTCTAGTTATGATTTTCACTTTTAGTTTAATTTGTATTAAAAATAAAATTTTAAAATTTATAATAATTAAATAGAGTTTTCAATTATTTTCTATGACAAGGGCTTATGCTATAACATGAGTAATATGGCGTTGGTCCATCATAAGACGTGGAAGTCAAGATGGCCGAGTTGGTCTAAGGCGCCAGTTTCAGGTACTGGTCCGAAAGGGCATGGGTTCGAATCCCATTCTTGACAAAATGTGTCGAATGTCATATTGACAAGATTCATACAAAATTTGGCTCATCTTTTTACTCCTAAAAGAAAAATTAAAAAAATTGAAAATAATTTCAAATCGGAAACCTTCATATTTGCCTTTTTGTTATGCTCCGGTTGTGGCACATAACTGTTATCAACGTCTTGAAAATAGCCTTTCTTTATGGTTTGGAAATAGGAATTCTGGCACGGGATTGTATCTTTTTTTTTAAAAAAAAAAAAAAGGGGCTCCAGGACCTCTACTTGGAAGACTCAAACTTGTGACCATTAGGATCCGAAATGCTTTAAAATGAACAAGGATGTTTGCTAGAATTTTCTTGTTCTTGTGATGATGCCTAAAGAAAATGCCTGAACTAAAACTTGGCCGTTTTTCTTTTAGGTTAAGGTGGAGATATCAACTTAGAACCGAACCTCATTTTTGTGTTCATATTTTTTTTTTTTTTGGGAATGGAGTAGTTTATGTACTCCCTCCGTCCCATAATTATTGTCCAATTTGAGTTTTCATTTTTAGTTCAAATTATAGTAAAAGTAAAATCTCAAACTGTACAATAATTTTGGGACAGAGGAAATATATATTATGTGTGTATAATAAAAGAGACAAAACCTAGAAATTAATTAATACATTTCGTGGATAAAAAGATCACAATAAAGTCATGTTCCAATAGCTGAAAACTGCAGACGATGGAATCGTCAAACCATTGCAAGCTTCCCGGACAAGTAGTAGCTAAAGATGTAGCAAAATCCTCCGAAAATTTAAATTCATAGAACCAATGTCATAGCTTAAACTCTCCAATCTTCGTAGTTCGTAGTAACTCTCGAAAAATTAGGTTTTATATTCTTATTTCAAATATAAGATACATTAACTCGTGAGGAGTTAACCATTGATTTTAGCGGATTCAGAGGATAGGCTGAGGAAATCTCTGAAATTTTTATATGAATGTTGTTGGATATAGCCCCAATTTCTAGTCGTCTAGGGGGAAATTCTTCTCCGTAGGTTTGGAAAAGAGGGTTATCCTGAAGTACTAAAAGCTTTGGATCAGATTTGTCGAGGATTTTATCCTGCCTTACAAGAAGGAGATGCCAGATATCTACAAACTGTATGTATGAGAGCATCAGCAGTTAGATGATCAAGAGGTTTCATTCGATTTTCAATTTTTCAGCTAAGCGGGAACGTGGATGTAACAATGGAACAGAGCTCTGAACAATTTTGCTTGTTTATCAAGCCACGAGAACTATGGATTATCGAGTGTTATCTTCTTGTTAATGAAGAGAAAGACCTCTAGTGGCACCATTCCCTCCTTTGCCAAAGAGATTGTAAACTCTGCAGAAATTCAAAATTTGTGCACCACGTGTGTTCTCTTTTTGAATTCACATTTAAAAGTGTGTTTCTTTGTTTTAAATATTACCATCTCCGTCTCACAAAAATAATCCATATTATTTACAGTAAATTGTAACAGTACGATTCACAGAGAACTAGTAAAAAGACTATGAGATCTTAAGTTAATTGTCATGACTCATGGACCATTTATCTGTTTGTTTTCTGTCATTTGGTCAATTTTATAGTTAGCTCAGACATTCTGCTGATCACAATTAGAGAGGAAAAGATAACCAGACACAGCTGCTCGAGGAGTATCAGCACAGAACTCTATTTACAAATCGATTTCTATTACTCTGTTTACAATGCGATTAAAACTTTCCTTCTAAACAGTAAATCTTTCCTACTCTGCTTAATATGTCCACTTTCTGCAGTAACATCAGCTAGATTCATTAGTGGGTCAAAAAATAGATGGTCAAACTGTCAACTGTGTCAATCAATCCATTGTCAAAATAACCGCGGCATCTGTCAACATTCATATCCATGTTCTCAAATCTCTCAGCTGGTACTACAAATTTCAACAACATAGAAGAGCTCTCCCTTTTAGCTCTTCGAGTGAGTAACGGGATACTGTTCTTCAGGTTGCTTTTGCCACAAATAGCGAGCAGCATCGATCCACCTTGGATTGACCAAGAACTTCTTCTCCTGGATTGCCCAGCGAGATTTTTCTGTTCCAGAGTCCCAGGAAACCACATGTGTTATCGATGGGCCCGGTTCTGTTGAGCATGTAGCCCCCAACTGCACCGCCAATTTCCAATAGTGTTGCTTTTCAGCCTGAGACTCAACGGGAAAAACCCGACTGAACAAAAGCCTGCAACCCTCCAAAACTTCATTTCTGACATTTTGCAACAGCTGGTATGATGATCAAAAAAAACAAGCATTTAGCAAAAACTAAGGTGTGGAGAAGCTCTTTAACAATAAAAGTGAGAAAACCAATACCACTGAACCGAAAGACTTAGTTTCCAAACAGAATACTATACTGCAACAAATGTCAGCTTGGTACCAAAATCCCAACCTGGCTTAACAGATTATTTTTCTTTCTTTCTTTTTTTCTTTTTTATTTTTTAAATATCACACCGTTTCTCTTTCCAACACTAGAATATGTTCATTCAGCATCAATTTGAATGATAGATAATCTATTGCATTATGCACGGTCATATAATTCACAGTGAACTACAATATGCCATGATGTCTGATAACAACTAAATCTCACCAGTCTACCAAACCTTGAGGTAGACCACAATACACAATACAGGCATCTGTAAATTAATTGCTCAAAGAGACACAACTCAAGCTAAAAGTGAAGAGAAGACAGGAAGAGATTCAAGACATATGAATTCTTAAAAGATCTGGTCAAACAAATTTGAAGAGCAGGATAGGTATCTGTAAGAAGTAATTTTGGTGCTCAAAATATTACCTGCCTCACATCTCGGTTCAAGAGACTCTCAACATGTTCCTGAAAATAAACTCATTCAGAACAACAGAAAGCAACAAAATTATGTAACAAAATGTTTAATAAAAGAAACTAGACATACGGTATCATAAAATGCAGTATGAATCTTCTCAAGAACTCTCAGAACTGTTGCCAGAGCTCCATCGGCCTCATTTTCATCAGTTCTTAATTGAGAAAGTGATTGAGAAGGATGGTGAAATTGCCGAACACTTGACGCGAAGAAATGATATCTTTCCATCAATATCAGATTTTCAGGGTGAGCTTCCCATACCTAAAATAACAAACGACCCGTATCAATTTGGAAATGACAGCAGACACAAACTTTGTAAAGCTTTTATGAAGTACATGTTGTGGTTGTGCTTCACATTCACATCTGAGCAGAAAACTTAAGATAGAGGAAAGTCTATACAAAAATTAACATCATGCAACTCTAAGCAGGCTGAGACGCTGAGTTATGGTTCATTACTGAAGCATCAGTAACCTCATGAACAACATCTACCATGTAATTCCAATTCACAAACTATTTTTATTGGGCAGAAGCTAAAAGTTACATTCTTAAGACAGATACCAAATTGCTTGGGATAAATTTCCACACACAAGCTGCCCTTTGTACTTTTCATCTCAAAAATTAAATAAGCCTACTTTCCTTTAAAAAAGAAAACCTGTAACATTGACAAACTAGTCAGAATGGAAAGGCACCCAAAGACTGGAAAACCACACTTCAACATAAAAATACTCATCAATCAAAGTCAACTCTTCCAGAACTCTGAAGAGTAGATAGACAACACATAAATCTTATTCAGAGCAGTATCACCAATCAGATGATGCATTCATCTGTGGATCACATCTCTTTGGAAAGCAAAACCTGAAGTATGCCTAATCTTCACATATTTTCTCTTCCGTGACAGAGAGAGAGTTCCAAAAATGAACAAGTACTATCAGTTGAATAGAGACTGACTGAGTCTGCAACTTCATGTAATAAAACTAAACAAGACGGCCATCCAAATCATCAAAAAAAAAAAAAAAAAAAAATTTATGAGCACATCATCCTCTAGGTCCAAAAAGAGAGGGAAAAAGTGATTAAAAAAGCATAAACCGTATAGCGGTCGTTGAATGAAGTACCTTTTCCGTGTCATCAAGTATTAATACTGCACTTTCTTTCCCCAAAACAACATCAAGGCCCTTCTGATACCTCACTGTGCTATTCACATTCGCAATCACTCTTGAATTGAAGTACACATCTTCAGGGTCCAGCAACTTCGCCATTTCCAATGCATAATTTCGATCACCCATTGTGTATATGTACATTTCAAACATTTTGCTTGCTTCTTTCAGGAATGTGTGGACAAAAGGTCTTAACTTAGTCATCATTCGCATGGACTCTAGTCTATACATGCTGCTCTTCACAGAATCTGGTAATATGAAGTAACAAATGTACACAAATTATTATTGCAAACTTGAAATATAATCAAAATGCTAAAGGCTATGTAAATAAGAGTCTTCCCTTCAGAATCTTAATGCACACCTCTAAAATTATGAAATAATCATAAAAAGTTAGACAAATTATATGACGAGATCAGACGACATGGTGCAGAAATATAGTCAAATGCAGACCTCTCGGGAGATCTTGTCTGTCTAAGTTTTGGGAGGATGAAAGTACTTTTGGAGTACTAAAATGGTTAAACGAAAAGGTATACACAAAGAAATCATCTGTGCAAATCAACTTCATTGCTAAGCAGTTCTGGCACATTCAACCAAAGAACCACTCTTTCGACATTACAGATGACCTGAGCATGAGGGATACTCATAAGTTAACAGTTGAATCCAAATCTTTTTCTCCAGCTTGAGTCATAGCTCTACCAGTACTATATTACAAGCAAATCAAGTACTCCCGCAATATGTATGTCTTAATCAATTCCCCATTAAGGTTCCACAAAATGTAGTCATCGATCTACAAACAGGTGATCTCTGCAAGCATTTCACCAAAATGTACGCAGAACGAGATTGACGCAGGACAAAAACATGGTGGTTAAGAAATCAGAACTTAGGCTGATTAAAGAGTAATATGCAGCGGAAACTAAAAGAATCTGTAAGACAACAAGCTTAGAAATCGCAGGAAAACAGGGATTAAGGATAGGAAAGGAAGAAGAGAAGAAAACCTAAGAATCACTCTTAGTGCCCTTTGGCGTCACGCCGCAGGAATCCTAGGCACCACACCAAGGATTTAGTTGAGTCACACAACTATTGCAAAGCAAAGCTTATTACAGGAATTTTTATTAATCAACGTCTCCCAAAAAATCTCCTCATATGAGGTACATATAAATAGGCCTAAAACTTAACCTAAACCAAAGACAACTAGGATTCTCACCTAATTTTCTTTTTATTCCAAGAAATTCCTGCAGCATAGCTAATATACTAAAATACCCTTTCCTAAATATTAATACTGAAATAAATAATTAAATTACTGCTTAATAAAGGATTAACTTAACCAAAGTCCCAACACTTTGGCTCCTTCCTTGGATCATGATGATCCTGGGCATATATATGGAAGAACCTACTGATAGGATTCTTCTACCATTCCTTGTCCCCATCAGAGATCTTCAAACTAAAATTGGAGATATAAAAAACAGCAGATAATGCATTTTTCTAGCCAAGGTTCGCAATCAACAAATATTCAATTTGATGTGTTCCATCAGATTCAACATAATTCTTCTTTTTTCCTGTCATTTATCATTAGATGGCAATCAACAAATATCCAATTTGATGTGTTCCACCACCTCACTTTGACCGCTTTTTTATTCTTTTAAAATCTCCGAAGTTTCCTCAGGAACTCCTTAATGGTTACAAGACCACGTTATAGTGTGCCCATAAAAAAGTAACTTGAAGACAGAAGACAAAACAAATTGTAAAACTAAAATAATAATATTAAAGCCTTTACCCCATAGCCAAAGATTGCCTACAGAGATCACTACTCAGTATAGTGTTCTATCAAACTATATTATTTTTAGTTAAGTTTAGGTTTTTTTTTTTTATTTTCTTTTTGGTAGCATATTTTAATTCTTTTACTTCTCTGCTTAACTTACAACTATTATTGCCTACTTCTACATGCTGCATTGGCCCATCTAAAGGTCTCTGACGCTTGCGCCTCTCATTTCTCATGTATTTTGACTCACTCTCAAACAAGGCAATTTTATGGTCCATGTCCATATCCATCTAAACATTTTCATTTTAGTGAACTTCATTTTTGTTCACCTTCATAGTCTCCTAAAACTTTTGTCCCTGATTAATCAACCACTTTATGACTCTTTCACAAACTATTCTTACATATTTTGCAGTCTTTTACAACCACAAAGAATAGTGGCGCAATTCTCCATTTGCTTCAACCTACTTGAAATCTATGTGTCACATTTTTAGCAATATGTCTGCGAAGAAGAGATACTAAATATTTTGAACTTCTATATAAACTAATAATTTAAGCTTCCTAATATCCCCAATCTTACCCTATTGTTTCTCCTGCAATTATCACATTGATAGCCAATACATTCAACTTTGAGTATTGTATATGTTTTCAGACTTGCACATTCACCCCTTCCCTCGCCTCATCAATCAAAACTACAGCAACTATAAAATGTATACATCCAGCAATTACTATTTGTGAATGAATAGTGAGCCCATCCATTACTAACATAAAAAGGCATTACTTAAAGCAGATTGCTAAAGCAAATAACATTCAACAAATCACTAGATACCCTTGCTATTATCCTTGCACATGCTACAACTGTACATATCTTTTTGAACTTCTAAAGACAGCACTCTGTCTCTCTTCATTCTATCACATAACTCATGCACTTTTGATTATTAATAAATAAATAGGCACAGCATTTTTATTTTTATTTTTATTTTTTTTAATAACTCATGCAGATCCAGTTTTCCTCCCTAAAATGTTCACATAATCTTCTACTACTTAGACAAGCTCTTGCCGTTTTCCACCTCGCACAAAACCAAATAATTTTAACCTGAATATTTATCAATCTTTCAGTTACTCTTTCTACAGTTCCAGTATGTAACATACTAACCGAAATTTTTTAGAAAATTGACAGAAAAAAACAAAAAGTATTACATCTGATCATTAGAACAAGCACATAAGGAATATCTGTGTACCATACCAGGTAGATCAGTGCTAGGGCCCTTCAAGTATTCTTCATCACCAGCAATGTCATCAAGCAGACTTGAATTGAGCAGTGTGTGATCCAAATCAAGAACCAAGTATAGCTTTTTATGGCGAAGCAGACTTTTCAAGTCTTTGTCACGTAATCGAACAAGCTCCTCGTTGGAAAGCCTTAATTTCTGCAAGCAAAGTACATAAAATCAACATCACAATTTAAGATCTCTTGATCGATCAATACAGTTCACCAAATGTCATGAAATTTTCATGTCATGCATAATGACATAAATTCTTAAAGAAAAAATGAACGAAAAAGAAAAACATAAGATAAGAACTGGTCAGCCTAAATTCTATTATCTTATATCAAGTGAAGTTACAAATTTACTCCTTGAAGGAAGCAGCGCTTCGTCAAATTAAACTTTCACTTTTAGGCTGAAGGAAAACACAAATCATGACTACAGTCGCAGTATAAGACATTCTGCAGCTAATTTGAACATTGGACAAGAAAACCAATCAGTATAAAGAGTTGTCCAGCTAACAAAATGTTCAAGATGCCAACCTTATGTATGTATCCAAGTGCAACACCAGATTCATCATCCATCCTTTCACCACATCTGATGCATAAACCTCCAATCACACCTGGATGAGTACAAGTAACTGTTTCTACAGATGCACCTGTACGGAGAGGATAAACATTGTTACAACTGCTTTAAAACTACTTCAAGTGTGTGTTGCCACTGAAATTCCATTTAGACTTCACAACAAACTCTTTATATGATAAGCAGGACACAGAGCAGGCATGGTAACGTTAATGACGTGCAAGAACTGAAATAAAAGGAAGGCATGTCATTTCTGTCAAGCTCAAATAATCATGAAAACGGATCGCAAGTAAGTAATATTCTAAAAATAACATGTATATTGCACTACCACCTCTTCCCAGTCAGATCCTACCCTTTGCCAAATAACATTAGAAGTACTAAATCACCCTTAAGGACTCTAAACAAATCAGAGCTGCTCACATTGTAAACAAAAAAATCTTTGAAATCAAAATAATATATCTAACTGCAAACCAGAGGAGGTCTCTTTCTGTTTGGTAATAACAATCAAAGGTCAAGGAATGTGATTAAGGATATCTCTACAAAGAGAGAATGCATTTAGAAAACCAAATTGCAAGGTGAAAGCTAACAATTGTTACAAGTTACACACCACCATTTCTCTCACATAAAAACCATCCACCATTAACATCAAATGACAAACAGGGTCATACAAAAAATAATCACCTGAGCTCTCTACCCTTACAGATGAGGAAGATTGTAGATCTAATGAGCTTTTGATGATATCAACCTTCTGTCTTTTACTCCTGAAAGGCAATGGCAAATCTAAGATAAAGAATCTAAGGAAACAACAGAGAGGATCTACCATCAATTGTCCCAGGCACTCACCCTTCAAGGTCCAAGGCATAGTCCTCAGCATTATCGTCTTCTTCTCTTTTTCTTTCTTTTCCCTCCATTGATTCGTCGTCGTCGTCGTCATCATCATCGTCGTCGTCGTCATCATCATCGTCTTCTGCATCATCTTCTTTTTCTACTTTTTCTACATCTTCTTCTATTTCCTCCTCCTCTCCAAAATTTTGTGAGACATCGGAGGCAGATTCCAACTCTCCATCAAGAAACGCAGCAAAATCATCGCTGCCAGTGCTTGAAGAATTCACTGGGGAATCTGCGGTTAAACTCATCTGCAACAAGAACCACCAGCTCTTAATAGTGTTTTAAATTGCATATGTGCTTCTACTTGCATGTTGACAAGAATAATTGGACAACAAAGTTTAACAGCAACGACATTTAGCTGCATGGGCTTGCTTTACAGTGTGTCGAGGCCTATAGAACAATTAGGAAAACAAAATAGGCCAACCAGCAGTTTATTTCAGTACACAGGAAAAAAAAAAAAAAAAAAAAACCACTACGGGAAATGATTCAGTACCAGACACCTCTAAACAACCAGATAGGTCGGGTTCAAATTGATTGCATCAGAAAACTTAAAGGATCTAAGCACTAACTTTCAGGCCTCTCTTCTTGGAGACAAAGGAGCATACCTCGGACAAACTACTAGGACCAGAACTGAAAAGGAGACTCGCAGGGTTCGGAAATCAACCCTCTATCTCACCATTTCAATTAGGAGACCCCAGAGTCCTATTAACAACTGAAAATCAACCCCAAATACCAACTACTTCCACCCTTTCATAAGAAGTCTGATTAAACAAGTTTGGAAATTACTTTCAAATCTTGCACAAACTCCATATAACTGATTGTAGAAAACACAACATTCCAACGTTTCAAAAAAAAAAGAAAGAAAGAAAACGAGCTCAAAATACAAAACAAACTCCTCAAACCCTCCAGCTTAACAAATTTCAACAACATAATCAATGGTTTATCAATAACCTTTCCTACTCCAATTCCACAGCGATTAAAGGTAACTAAATAAGTACGTATTCCGAACTAACACGTGAAATCTGAAAAAAAAAAAAAACTAATACTCTAACCTTAAGCCACTTAAACGAGAACAGAAAGAAGCCAAAAGCTAAGATTCCATAATGCATCCACACAAGAAGAATAGAACTATACTCTCATACTAACCTTGAAATACGAAACCAAAAGAGACACACAGTTTCCGTTGTCGATTTTTTGCGTTAAGAAATCAGCACATTTTCCCTCCGTGATCAAGAAGACACCCGAAAAATCAAGGACGGAGAGCAGAACCTGATTCCAAACAGTCCCGACCTGAAAGTAACACCCAAAGCCACCGCGGACGGCGGCGACTGAGCGCAACAAAGAGAGACCGAAGAGTTTTCCGAGTTTCAGTTCGCAGCACAGAGGAGAGAAGCCGAACGGTTCTGCGGATTTAGGACATGGGGAAAAAATAAATAGAGTGAAAGATGGCTTCTGAGCGGGTTTTAGAAAAAAACGGGTGGGTTATCCATGTTGAACGGGTTGTTCTTAAAAGACTTAAATCCGTTAATAATAACGGGCTACCTAGGCCCATTTATTTAACCCAATTTTCTCGCAACTAATGGTTTGCCCAGCCCAATTCGAGTTGCATCTTCTAAAAGAAATTCCCAGTAATACTTAATCACAGTGCTGATTCCATATTTCTTTGGGGATAATTGATATGGTGAACTTCTAAACAAAAGAAAACGACATAAGGTAAGTGTACGAAGATCCTTCTTTCCTAAGCAAACTGTTTGATTTTCTAAAGTCTGAACGCGTTTCATCCCTTTATTATAGAGGAGGAGGAGCTGGTGATCCTCTCTGTCAATTGGATTTATATTATATATATATATTTGGCGTTTTTTTGAGTTCTTGTTTTGTTATAATTACCTCGAGGACAGAGTTTTAAATCTTTGGGATTGTACTGGTTTTTATCCTGTTGTTGTAGATTTATTTGGTGGATTGCGATTATGGATTCCTTCTTCGGCAAAGGGTTCAAGGGTTCTAAATGGTAATGAAATCCCTCACTCATTTGAGCTTCTTTTATCCGTTTGGAGTTTGAGATTATCTGTCTTTGGGTTTTTGATACTGATTTTGCGTCTGTTTGGTTCGTGGGTTTAGTGCCAAGGTGGGAGTTTGGTTATCTTTTAGGACTGGAAGAAATTAGATGATCAATCTGCTGCGAAATTGTTTTAGATAGTTTGGACTGCAGTTATTGATGCTGATTATTCATGCCGTTGATTACAGTAAAACCTTACTCAAATTGACGATTCCACGGATAAAGTTATTGAGGAATAGGAGGGAGATTCAGCTGAAGCAGATGCGTAGGGATATTGCCAAACTCCTGGAGACTGGTCAGGAAGCTACTGCTAGAATTCGGGTATATTACTTCTCTCTTCTGGTTTCTGCAATCTTTTGTTCATGTCGATTATGATTTGTGTAACAAGCATTTTTGGTGGGTTTTATAGTTGGAGACCTTTTGCACTCTGGAATTTTGACGTTTTGTTCCTTTCATAATGCTTAGGTGGAGCATATAATAAGAGAAGAGAAGATGATGGCGGCACAAGAGATCATTGAGCTGTTCTGTGAGCTTATAGCTGTTCGTTTACCCATAATCGAAACTCAAAGGTATAAATTTGTATCTAATGGTTTGAAGTTATGCATTTAGGTTCCCATTTTACCCTGCTTACTGTATGGTTATTATAAGTTATACATGGAATGCTTGTTTACCTGTACCTCTATAGCACGTGAAAGAATAATGTCTATTTACCTGTACCTCTATAGCACGTGAAAGAATAATGTCTATTTATCTCTATATTTTGAAAAATGCCTGCTCATTGTTTTATTTTGATTCATAGGTTAATATTTCCTATAGAACAATATGATTAACATAGCTGAGAATTAGCTTGTGTGTACGGTTGTAGTGCTTTCAGGTTGCATGTATTTTATTCGGGGGTTTTTTTTTTTAATATTTTTTGTTGACTTCTAATCTTCCTTCCATTCCTCATGCTTTGAGGTTTGATCGTATCTGTCTCCTGCCTTTCTCAATTTGTGTACATTATTTAGCTAGAGTACTTTTCATGCCATGGTTCAAATTTAAATTCATTTTACCTGCTTTGTATCTTTACTTTTAAGGATTCAGATAGACATCATTAGAAGGACAAAGTAGAGGTCCTACTGATGATATGTTTTTGCCTGTGGCTTAGATGTACATTTCTCCTGAATTTATTGTTTCTGTGAATCCCTGATAAGGAAGACATCAAGCAGTAACTTAGCTTCTAATGAAAGGTTTCAAATCTTTATTTTGTCAGGGAATGCCCTATAGATTTGAAGGAAGCAATCTCCAGTGTGTGCTTTGCAGCACCTAGATGTGCCGATCTACCCGAGTTAATGCAGGTTCAGATGCTGTTTTCTGGTAAATATGGTAAAGAGTTTGTGACGCGAGCAACAGAGCTCATGCCTGAGTGCGGTGTCAATCGACAGGTTCTTTGACTTTATCTTTTTGGAGTTATAAAATCTTTTTTGCTATCTTCCTTTTTTTTTCCTCATCAGAATCCTCATTTACTTTGCAGTTGATAGAACTCTTATCTGTCAGAGCTCCTACTCCAGAAGCAAAGTTGAAGCTATTAAAGGATATTGCAGAAGAGCATGAGCTTGATTGGGATCCTAGTGCTTCTGAAAATGAAATGTTGAAGCCACATGAAGACTTATTGGTAAGTTCGTACTTATTGCCACATTTTTGTGCTTGAAGTTTTTTGTTTTCATTTTTGTGCTTGAAGTGTTTTGTCCACATGATACAATTAGCCTGACGCGTGACTTTTTTTTTCCCAGAATGGACCGACTCATTTTGCCAGTGGATATAAAGTTCCCCTTCCTGAAGCAAAACATGAAGAGGTTCCCCAAGGTGCTTCTGAACAAACCTCTGGAGAAAAGTCTGATTCTGATAATGATTTAGAAACATGGGAGTTTCCAGAAGTTCCTAAGCAGCCACTGAAGACCAATACTGGGGATATATCTACACCAGAAATGCTTCCGTTCCCTGCTTCTGCACTTTCTGAGCTAGATAGTGAACCCGAAAAGTCCACTGGGGTCGATGGTGGTCTATCCGAGGAATCACACTTGAAACCAGATGAAATATTACAGAAAAAATCTGTGACTGAGGAAGTTGAGTCACCAGAAAGTTCAGTTGAGGAGAAACAGTTTCTTCCTTTTATATCACCACCAAGAGTGTCTTCCAAAATAGTGTCTGCCAAGCAAGATGATTCTTCCCCTTCGATCCCAGCGACCAAAGGTCAAACCGATATAGATTTGCAAGAGCTGTTGGCTTCTGCTCGAGCTGCTGCAGAAACTGCAGAACGAGCTGCTGCTACTGCTCGTTCTGCTGCTAGTCTTGCTGAGCTCAGGATAAATGAACTTTCTAAGAGGAACGAAGAGGTATCTGGTACCAACACTGAGAATCCTTTCCATGCGGTTTCAGAAAAGTCCAACTCATCTGAGAGCCCTCATTTACACCATCAAAGCTCCTCAAATGACTATCATGGTTTATTGAGGTCACAAAGCACTGGCCAAAATGGTGAAGATCATTTTGCCCCTCAGCTGCCACACATCCCTTCATATGATGATACAAAATCAGACTTCGGTTCCTTCAGTTCCCATAGCTATGTGCCTGCTCCAGGTGCACCCATTGGCCAATTTCAGAGATTGCCATCAATGGACGATGAATTTTCTTATCCAAACTTGTTTAGTTCACAAGGTTCCCATGCCCTTTCTCCCGCCAATTCATTTGCAGATAACTCAAGATCCACTCATGAGTAATGTAATTAGAGGTCAAGGGGATCCTATGGTATTATAATCATGTTGCCGTCTGTAAATTTCTGAGTTGTCTGGAGTCATTCAAGTTCTGTTGTGACTTTTTCTTTCATGTATTTATTTATTCTGGATAAAATTACTATGAATTTGCTGCTTTGCTGGGAATAAAATACTACTAAAGGTGCTACAAGTTGATACTCCTTTTCAACAATGTTCACAAAAAAAATGTACTGTAAGTGCCAACTTGTGAAGGATTTTCAGTCTTAATCGCTACTATCCCCAGCTAATTTGAAACCCATGGGACTTTAGATTAAGCATATAATTTACTCTTTTGCCTCTTTCTGCCTTTCATTGTCTTCAGTGAAACATAAGACTACCATGTAATAGAAGTTGAACAAAGGTGAAAAGAGACAGTTCAATGACGATTAAACTGTGAGGCTGCAAGCTATATCGTTCTATGAGTAAAGGGTTGCGCTAAATTCACACCAAGAGTAGGGTCAGAGCCACGGTTTCTGACCTCGATTTCTACTCGGTTGATTTTATTTCCTCAGGAATTTTGACTGATAAATGATGTGTTCCTATTTCGTTTTAGCATCTATACCCCCACAGCTGTTATAATCAACACTTATATCATCGTTGGGCTCTCAACGATTTTTGCTTCATCATCAAGAGTAATGCTGTTGTGGCTTTAGCACAAATGCACCTGTCTTTAACTGCTCGATAGGGAAAGAAAACAATGCAGAGCAAAGGAAAGCAAAGAGAGATGAAGCCAAAGGAAGTTTTTGAGTAACAAAAATGCGCCTATATGCATGAAATCAGGGTTGAGATTCTGAAATGCCTACCGATACACATTCCTATGCACAAATTGAAATACAATTCACAATGGCTTTCAGGCTATTGATGGCTAATTTTTCCCATGATCACTAATATTTCACCAAACAAGAGCATCCTATAACCAAATCCTAATCATTTCATGTCTTTTTGATTAAACCTATAAAGAGATCACCTAGGACCAGATAATTCAACTGCATGTAAATTCTCTGTCGAGTCCACAATCCAATCTGAATTCGGGTGAGGAGCTAACTCCACCTCCTGACGGAGGACTTCAACTTTTTGCCACTCATCCCATCTCTCAGCCAAGCCGTCACCTTCAAGCATTCTCACCACTTCTGACATTTTGGGTCGATCCATAGGGTTGCCCTGTGTGCATAGCAAAGCTACCTGGATTAATTGCTCAACTTCACACTCGATGTAGTTGTTTTGGAGGTCAGGATCAACCAGCATTTCCAATTTTTTCTCTTTTAGAAGTCCTTTGACCTGAAAAGTTGAAGGTTTGGGTAACATCAGCATAATCAGAAGTAGTAGAAAGAGATCCCGGTCCTTGAGAGGACAACCCGGCCTTTGCAGACCGACTAATTGTAAAAAGTACATGTAGAGCAGATATGTGGACGGGCCCAGGTCAGTGTAGGTTAGTAAAGCTATGTTCCTGGCCGAAGAAGCTTCAGGAGTTGAAACTATAAAAAAGAAAAAGAATTCCATGCTGCCCCACAGGGGATGATTGTGTGAGTTGATTTTACTTGTATTTATTGCAAATTATGTATTGACCACAGTACTTACCCAATCTAGCAACATGACATCATCATCATTCGCAAGTCGGGCAAGATCAAATGCCCTTTGCCCAGTGATAAGCTCAAGAAGCATGATGCCATACCCAAAGACATCAGTTTTTTCAGAAGATTTCCCTGTCGACAGGTACTCTGGAGCTATATGCCCAATTGTTCCACGGACAGCAGTTGTAACATGGGTGTCCTTGTAATCCATTAGTTTAGCCAAGCCAAAATCTCCAACAACCGCTTCGAACTCTTCGTCTAGCAGTATATTTGCAGCTTTCACGTCACGGTGAATGATCTTAGGGTCACAGTGATCATGCAAATAGGACAGCCCTCTTGCAGACCCCAAGGCAATCCGCTTCCTGGTTGGCCAATCCAAAGGTGGTTCATTCGGTGGTCGTTCTACAACATTTAAACAAAAAGTATATATGTTAGAAACAATCATCCATAAAACACAAGCTATTTCTGATACATCATTAAGGAGGCAGCAGTGGTGGGGATGGGGGGAAGGACAACACATTTATCAGAGATGAATAATGAATTGAAGAGAATTTCACAAGCAAACTAGCATGATTGCTCAACATGCCAAACAATTCTATACACATCCCAGAAATAATAGATGGTAAAGCTCTCATACTAATAACGACTTGAGTTGGCATGACAGAAAAAGTACGGAAATTGAAGAGATTTTCACAAGCACAACCAGAATGATAGATCGTACCAAGCTAAATCATCCTAGATACTTCCAGAAATAATAGATGATGGAGTTCTCGTACTGATAAAGATTTGAGTTGACATAATAGGAAGACAAGTACCTTACATAAAAACAAAGGAATAGTGTACAAAAGCTCACCTCTCAAGCAAGATGCAACACTTCCATTAGCCATATATGGATAAACAAGCAACCTTTCAGTTGGAGTCATACAAAAACCACGCAACCGAAGGAGATTTCTATGAACTGCCATGCTGATCATCTCCACTTCTGTTTGGAACTGCAACTCTCCACCTGGAGTACGCTCCTCTTTCAATCGTTTAACAGCCACCAACGAACCATCGGCAAGGCGACCTTTGTATACCTTCCCAAATCCACCTCTACCAAGAATGTTTTTGTTGCTAAAACTATCGGTTGCAACTTGCAGTTCTCTAAGGGAGAACCTCTTAAGCTGCCCCAGATGAACCTCCGGATCCTCCTCAGCTGCAAAGATAACATAGGCAAGAGTGTAAATATTAGATAAAAAAGAGAGAATTCATAATCAATATAGTCACTGAATGTTTCGGAAAAAGCACTAACCTGGCACATCGAAGAAATATTCCTGGGGTTTTCTTCGACGCCACCAGGCAAATGCAATAGCAGGAGCAGCAAACAGTAGTGCAGCTCCTGCAGCAACTCCTCCAGCAATAGCTCCAGTAGCACTATTTCCCCCTGAACTCCAAAGATAATAGTCAGAGAGATGGTATAAATTATGCCGAAGGATTTGTACTCATCACTGCAGAGTTGCAGAGCTCTTTGATGTAAATGAGAATGCTAATTTTTTTGAGTGGATGAGAACAAGAAACACATAGTACACATACTACATGGTGGTTAAATTAAATGACTCAGAAGGCACAGGCGGGGGAAGGGGGCAGAATGTGAGAAATGACGTCAAAGTTTGTTGGGAGTATAAAAAAAGTTACCTGGAGATGAAATTGGAGGCGGCGGGACAAAAGGAGGTGGAGGAGAGAAAGGAGGGGATCCAGGGCAAGGGTGACCAGTAACCGGGCCACATAAATCCAAATTATTTGCAAAACTGTACAGCCATGAGTCAGCCACATATTTGGCACTAAGAAAACTTCAATCAAATTGATGCTAGTCCTTTCAGATTATAAAAATTTATATATACCTGATGGGTGTAAATAGGGAAAAGGAACCATTATCTGGAACAGCACCAGAAAGGCGGTTGTTAGAGAGATCCCTGCGTACCGATTGGATAAGAAGAAAAAGAGACAAACTTCCAATTAGACGTATGCAAGCAGAAATGACTCAGCATGCATCGTCAATAAATACCAAAACAGAAACGACCAAAATGATGAAATCAGGCAGTAAACTCACAAGACTTGTAGAGACGATATATTCGTCAATGCCATTGGTATCGGACCAGTCAAACTGTTGTTGTTGAGCCGACTACATACACAGACGTCACAAGGCACACACAAGTCAAACAGTCATTCAACGAAATCTCCAACACATAAAAACTCGGTAAACCAGGAAAAAACAAGTTTGATGATGATTTCTCATCAGAAAATATTTTCCCGTTTAAGAAAACAATATATATTATGAAATCATAGTAAAATGCCACAAGAAACCCGAAGCTGATTACGAACTTACAGAAATCTTAATTTTGACAGTTTGCCCAAGGTATCTGGGATCGGACCAGTGAAATTGTTCAGGTAGAGATCCAAGCTCACCAAATTAGTAAGGTTCCCAAGATCACTTGGAATTTCTCCACTTATGTTGTTGCTATAAAGCTCCCTGATAAAAAGAGAAATTTTGCATGTCAATATTGGAATCGTAAAAAGATCTCTGCCGCAGTACACATATTACAAATGTCAACAATATTCGTACGTCACTACCATATGGGAATTAAAAGTAAAATGCTGGATTTGGCGCGTGTCAAACATTTATCGGTGAATGATGGACTCCCATTCAACTTAATTACGTAATTTCATTCAAACCACTAATTCAGCTATTCTGGAATGCAAATTTCCACAAGTAAAAGTGAATTCCTTTCATTGTCCTTCCCCTACCCTTAATGCTTTGAACGCCCACACACATGATGCCATCATTAGCATAGCTTCAAATTTCGCACAAAATCCTTTAAAAAAGATATCCACAAATACTACAGAAACCTGCGACTTTATACATTTTGTAGGAAGGAGGACATTCCATTAAAAATCAACAAAGACCATTCGGTACACTACAAAGAAACAGAGCCACTTGTATTTCTAAAATATCTAAGGCCACTTAATTCAGTTCAAAAATGAGAGAGCTATCATGACACTGCGTGGTTAAACGGCTAGTTGGAAATTCATATGTAATTGTTCCGAGACACTTTTTTCAAGCATTTGAAAAGTAACATACAACTGTCATTTTGATATTTTGATCATAAATGCAGCTCAATTACTGTCTTTCTCTTAACGGCAGTTACGTAATGTTGTCTTATTCTGGCTTCACATACGCACAGGCATGTATTGAATCTTCCTCCCACGCAAGATTCCCCTATTAAATATTAAAATGGTACTTAAAACATAAAGTAATTAACCGATTCCAGCAAGTCATATGCGACAAATTTTCACTTTCATACAAAGCCCTTGGCTCATGGAACTTATTGAATGCACTCCTGCCTCCCGTTCTCCGGTAACCAGGCCATGCAAGGCCTACTTTCCACTAATTATTCAGGGAAAACGTCTTCAACCTTAGATGACGTAACGCCATGCTCAAAGGAATGAAGATGTTTAAGAAAGTTCAACTAATTACAGTAATAATATCCATCCTCTGGTAGTAGGAATACAATCATGTTGCCAACACAATATACCATCATTAAAGATTAAACAAACATTCAAACTATAAGAAAGATAAACTTTCAAACGAATATCAAGAACAGGGCGGCAATAACATATTTGAAAAAGTGGCTTACAGATACTGCAAATTCTTCAGCGAACCAAGCTGTGGGACCAATTGACCAGATAACGCGGCATTACCAAGATCACTGAAGACAAAAGTCGAGTGATGTCATAAATACAATACCCAATCCAAACCATTTTCATGTAAAAACTGAGAGCACACCGCCGACAAAAAATCTTACACTCTTATAACACTGTTGTCGTTATTACAAGTAACATGAAACCAGGTACATGGGTTGACTAGAGTGGGATCCCAACTCTGTAGCACATTGTTGGGATCTTGTAAGCTGGTCCTCAGGCTATGTAGAGCATCACCTGCAACAATGAAAGATCGGAGTAAATTCCATACTTCTCCCATAACCAACATCGCCATACGCAGGTAGTCGAAAGCACTTCAATCTTTACTCCCAAAATTATAAACTAATAAAAAAGAATTCCACTGAGCTAAAGCCATCCTTTATGCCACCAAAATTCATTTTGAGAAAACCCATAAATTTCAAGCAAAAATTATGATTTGAATTGTGGTGCCAGATTAGGTACACATTTGACCATAGCAACTCGAGATAGCTTCCAACAGTCACCGAAATTAAAGTATACAAGAAAAACAATACTGAAAGATCAGGACCCTTAATTATATAACATTAATTATACAAAACCAGCTCTGAGACGAGCGAATTATTCCTCTTCCTCTTAAGAATTAAGCAACTTAAAAGAATCACCAGTAAAAGATGTACAGTTATTTTCCCAGGCCATAAAGTGCCAAAAAATGAATCTTTAACAGGGAAATTCACAGATGGAGACGTAAACCCTACAAACAAAGAAACAGCTCTAACATGCATAAATCAAGAAATGCCCCAACAAAGAGATTTCGAAAATTGAAGTAAAAACTAAAACAAGAACAAACCTTCCATGTTAGCAGCTATGAACCTCACTGGACAAACCGCCACGATCAGCAAGAGAAGTACTGACATCAAACCCTCCCTTCCCATTCTTAAATTCATTATCAATATATCAAAACCACAAACACATTAACAGAAATAAATGTATTCACCCCTAAACCACCAGCTCAAAAAGAAAAAAAAAACAATCCCTCAGATCCAAGTAAAACACAGTTAAGAGTAGCATTTGCAGCAAAACCCCACAAACCCAAAACATTCATTATCCCCAAAAAACACCATTTTGAATTCTCCAAAGCAAGCCACCTCAACTGCAGGGAAAAAGAAAAATCTGATCTTTAGCAGCTTGGAAAAAAAAATCCCTTTAAAAACAGTACATTTCTTCCTCAGTAAACAAAATCCAATCTTTTTTTCCTTTATTTTCCGATGTTTAACTGCCCAAACACAAACGGAGTGCAGCTAAAAAAATGTGTCTTTTATTTTGTTTTTCTGGGCTTTTTTTCTTTTTATTGTTTCAAAACACCCCTTTTTATCACTCTGAAAACTTTTCACCTCTGTAATGTAATGTAACACTATTTATATATATTTTGTAATTTGTTGTACTGCTTTTTCTCTCTCTAGCAGAAGCTCTCTCTTTCTTTGTTTCTTTATCTCTCTACTCAGTTTCTTTGTGTGCACACTGCACGTAGAGAGAGAGAGAGAGGGTCACTGTGTGAGTGTGTGAGAGAGACTGCTTATCTTTTTGGGCGTGTGCTTCAGTGGGGGGGTTTTGCCCGACGGTAGGACTGCTGCCCGAACACCTGCCCGTACCGCTTCCTTTTTCACTTCCAAACCAAACGGCTTCGCGCTTTTTCCTTCCTTTTTGGTGTTTCCAGAGAGTATCTTTGACAGTCTTCGGTTTCTTCTTCTCATCTTCTTTGTTTTTTTTTTTTTAAGTAAAAATAAATAATAAATAAATAAAATCCTGCAGAATAAAATAATTTTCAATAGGAAAATAGTTTTAGAAATACTTCTATTTGTTCCATTTAGGATACTATCATGAACTCTTCCGTTCCAAATTAATAATCTTAATTTACCTTTTTGTTTTTTTGAGTTTACATACCATAAGAGATATAATCAGCAGATAATTTAACTTATATTTCCATTCAAGTGCACTCTTTTCCTTTTGAGATTATCTCAGTTTTACTTATTTGGATATTTAAAAATGACTATCTTTCATGTAATGAACTAAATTTACGTTGTGAACTTCATATACCATTGACAACTAGTTTCTGAATTAGAAAAAAAAAATAATAACAATAATGATGGAATTGACTAGGTGATATCTAGAACTGCTTAATACTCACCGTAACAAAAATAATAATTAGTAGAACGTTATACAAAATCACGAACAAAAGGGAAAAAAAGGGGAAAAAAAAAAGAAGACATTACTTTTTATCATGGAGATATTTGTTTTCTTGAAATCTGTAGTTAAATAAAAATGAAATAAGTCTACAAAATTTATGAACAAAAGTAGTAGATCAACAGTAATCTTGTAGAAAACCTGAAGGGTGATGTAATTATCAATACAATTTATTTTTCACCCAAAATAATAATAAATTATTCCTTTATAAAATAAATAAGCGTGTTCTTTCAAAAAAAAAAAAAGGAAAAAAATTAGAGCTCATTAAAATTCGAATTATAGAACAATGATCTTTACCATTTCATCAACTTTTCTTGCAGTGCAAATAATTTTTAGTAATAGAGATGAGAAACCATGTGTTTGGATGTCATTGACGAGAAAGATTAAGGTTGGAAGTCTTTAAACAAAACTAGTACAGCTAAGTAGTTTCTATAATCTGGGACAACCTTAATTTAATAATTCTATAATGACGTGATGTTGTCGACTAAGGAACGCAAGTGATTTGGACTAATATTGTTTCTTTAACTATAAATCTTAGACCAAATTACCCCATTTGTCAAAAGTTGGATATGGAAGCACATTAAAAAAAGAAAACTTTGCACGTGAGGATTAATCTTATTTATGGTACCACATTTAATAATTTAGTATTTGCCTAACTTAGTTGGAATTATGCTTGTGCCCTCTTTTCCTTTTGTTTCTTTTTCCATATTGCAAAAATAAAAACCATATCGGTTGAACTTTTTCAGTACTCTTTTCATTTCAGTAGTTTATTTTATTGTGATATGTTAATTCAATAAATTGAAATATAGGGTGCAATAAAGAGAATTTCTATTTTCATGTTTGACCTTAATAATTTTGAATTTAATTGGCATTGATTTAACCTGGAAAGACCAAAAAGGGTTAGCTTTAAACGTATACACTGTATAGACGCCACAAAAATGCGCTTTAATAATGAAGGAACGTAATAGGTAGCCGTAATCTATATTAATGATCTATAAATGCACCTATTTCACATCAAAAAAAGAACCAACAACTTTCGGTATTCATGAAGCAGTTGTACTTGTACAATTTTAAACCAAATGACCAGTCATTAGTTCTTAGCAAAAAGGTATTCATGAACCACCTGTTTCGTTTTTTTAGTGTGTGTTTTAGGTGTTTATTGTATTAAAAAAATGTAAAAAGTTGTATTAAAAATGTAAAAAGGTATGTTAGAATGAGACAGTTATTTATTAAATATTTTGAAAATACCATAAAAAACCTAACAAATATAAAGGTTTATACATAACATACTAGATTGGGGGAAAAATCATAATATTTCAATTTTTTTTCTTTTGCATACACACACAGTCCCACATATTGTTGCACTCAAACTAATCCACACCGAGCCAGGGAGGTCTCCTTTCAGAGGGCAACCTATTGTTCATTTTCAATTTTTGTTCTATTGGTGTGACTTTAAACACCATAATTTGTTTCTTTATTTTCCTTAAGCATTATACAAACTGTAAATAGTATCATATATTTATAGTTAGCGAGATTCAAATTCATAATCTTCATGCGCAGGTAGTATTGATGAGGATCATGGCTAATGTGATTCAGTTCAGAGAAATGAACAATAAAATAAAATAATGATTGACATAACTTGTGTAAAAGGACAAAATAATAATATTAAAATATCAGCGATTAAGAATGTAAATTAATAATCATATCGTTTTATCTTTACTGATTTTATTTTATCCTATATATTTTTATTGACGTTGCCAAACACTTTATAAATTTCTTCTTTTCCTTTTTTTTTTTTTGGTTTTTAAATCTACCATGTTTGGGAGTTCTAGAATTTGCATAATACGTACACACAACAAAGATGTGGAAAGTGACCCGTATATATTATGAGATTAGATGTAGTATATGATTTTGTACATTACATCCACATCTAAGGGAGGATACCCAAATCCTGGAAAGTGATGGGACTGCATTGTTTATTTTTGTACTCTTTTAACTCTCCATAAGCCTAACACCGTTTTAATATTAAGGACAAAACGTGGAGCCTACCGTCAAAATCCCCCCCAATATTCCAAGAATTAAAAAAGGGAGTCCTATAAATCATAGTCAAATATTCCCGTTTTGAGGAAAGTGAACGGTGTTTAAGATAGGAACATTTGCCCCCAAATATTCAATTCCATTTATCAAACATCGTTATTTTGATCATAAAAAAGGTATCATATTGATCAACGTCAAAAGGGCTGCTCTTGAGTCAACCTTGAGTACCAGCAGTATTACTGAGTTTGGCCACCTGATGTGGCTGGTCTTTTTGAAAATTTTATACATTTATGTTCCAAAATAAAAATCTTATGTGTTGAATTATTTTATGATTTGTATAAACTGTATTTTTTTAGCTTTTTATTGTATAGTTTTTTAGCGTAACAAATAAAAAAATTATTTTAAGACGGAAAAAAAGAAGTAGATTCACTGGCTAAGACTTTATATGTATTACTGTAATTTCACTTCTAATTTTTTAAAAATTAATATTTTTTAAAAACGAGTAAACGAGATCGAGTTAAAAGTCATAACTTGGTTTTTCTTTGCTCTATTGTTTCAGTTGATCGATTTTTTTGTTTGATTTACTTTAATTAATTTATTTTGTGACAAAAGTGTTAATGGTGATTTTGAGTTAAAGTGTAAAGAATTGTATTGAATATGAAACAACATGGGATGCATACAAATTTAAAAAAAAAAAAAATAGTTGCGAAAAATGCAGAAGCCTTGAATTTGAGTATGTTATATTCGCCACATACACATATGCGTAGTATTGTTTTAGCATGATTTTTTTTTTTTTGGTTTTTTTCGCCATTGAAAACGATTATTAGAGATGGTAGTGAGAACGAGGTCCCATATTTGAATTTTATGGTCTCCCTCAAGGACCGACTTTGAAGATTATTGATAGTGAAAGATTCTAAAAGGCAAGAAGTAAAATTGCGGTCCTAAATTTGAGCTCTATCATTTCCCTCGAGAATACTATTTATAACTGTCTTAAAAAAAAGAGGATATTGGGAGAGATTTAAGTATTTTGTATTCAAGGTGTTCTTTTTTGACAGTGATGGGAATGGAGGTAATAGTTATTTGATTCCGATTTTATCATTATCACGTTTCGTAAAAACTTTAAAATAAGGGTTTAAGTTTCTTAAGTAATGAGATAACTCCAATTCAGTAACGATAATCTCATATTAAACACTCGTCAATTTATCTTATATTAATAAAAAAAAAAAATGCAGCCCAAAATATGACGCCTCAATCATTATCACACCTCAATTTTTTTTCTCAATAATCTCATATTAAATCTCCAGGACACATGTTGCAAGCGCTGCCTTCCATGTCAAGACAAATAAATGTTTTTTAATTTTTTCTTTTACAAATGTTCAATAATAAATGGGATGTACAACTTCTGTTGAACCGTATTTAATTTATTTTGTTGTTTTAGTAGTGATTTTTTTTCAATATAGATTTTTGTAAAAACGTTGATATAGTAATACGAATTCATTTCATTAGTTATTACTGTGCAAAATTTAAAATTATATATTTGTTTATTCCCATACACATATAAAAAAGAAACGTATTAATCGTCAAGTAATACTTATTCCAATATGTATTTGGAATATATCAAAGGTAATGAAAGATTTATTTAATAAATAGCTGGTTTCCCATCAAACTTTTTTATTAGAGAGTGAAAATCTAACGTTAGATTTTAATAAATGGTTATTTCATATAATTTGAGCAAACGTTTTTATTAGAGAGTGAAAATCTAACAGTAATAAATTGTTCATGTACAAAATTGAATTCAAAATTATCTTTACAGATAAACAAACACCTTATCGTATGGTTTGTATTAGAGAGTGAAAATCTAACAGTAATAAATTGTTCATGTACAAAATTGAATTCAAAATTATCTTTACAGATAAACAAACACCTTATCGTATGGTTTGACAGTTATCGGTATATCATATATAATATATATATATATATATATATTATTACTCCCTCCGTTCCAAAATAAGTATTGTTTTAGCAAAATAGAGAAATTTCAAAATAAGTGTTGTTCCCACATTTCAATGCACTTTTTGTGCAAAGTTTCCAAAATCACCCTCCAAAGAATAAATACTATTGGTGAATATTTTTTTAATGAGGTTAGTTGAAAATATTTAAATAATTTTACAATTTTATTTAAGAATTTCTTAAACTAAATGCAAAGTGTAGAATGACACTTATTTAGAATGGAGGGAGCATTTTTTTACGTTACTATGAGCTGTCAAGCTCAAAACGTTTTTGAAGAGGGAGTCATTGGGAGGATAACGTTGGTGGTGACAAGTGGACCGAAACGGTGACAAGAGTCATAATATTTCCTAATTGAGAGAAGAGAAAATATTTGACCAATCTATTAAAGTTAATGGTGATAAGTATAATTTGACAAAAACAACTTCGGTTTTGAAAACGTGAATGATACCTCTTGCTCACACTTTTGCCGCTTTTTAAGCCAAAAGAGCCCAAATTTTACCGCTATCTTACAATCTGCTGACGACTCAAAATGGCTTTAATCATGACAAAGTTGTTTTTGCCATACCATCACCACCGATTAGCTCGATTTCAGATGAGAAGGGAGAGCTGCCTCATAATTACACCTAGGCGTAACTTTGTAAGAGTTACATTACTCATTTCGTTCCGAAAATATAATTCAATCAATTGTTTTTCTGTGATCGGAAAAATATTAACTTTATTCCATCAAATTTCAATGGGAAATTTTGAGTTTTAAAACAGAAGATTTATTAACTTGATTTTTAATTATTAATCTCTATACTTTGAAAGCCACATTAAATTTTCTCGAGAGCAGAAAAATATTTAAGAACAAAATCCATTCATTATTCATATTGTTTTGGATTGCTTATTGATTCCTTGATGAATTTCCAGGACAATTTATAACCATGTGAATAATTGGGTAAAACAGGCTATCTGTCATATTTACCCATCTGATTAGCTCTTAGCTTTCGCCATTTGACCCACGCTAAGATGGGCTACTACCTACAGCTAGTTTGAGGTACAAGAGGCCCTTATGGCATAACATTTTCTTCAGCAAAGTTCCCTGGGCCATAACCTAAGCCCATCTTGAGCAAATTATACAATAGGCATGCTTTAAAATGCTGTCCGAAGATAAATTTGATGAAATTCTTCTTCTATTTTATTCAACCTGTTCCAAAAATAATAACTCAAATTCAATGTAGATTAGTATTTTGTTAACATAGAAGAAAATAATACTTCTTCTGTTCCAAAATTATTGTTCAGTTCGAGATTTCACTTTTAGTACAATTTAAACTAGAAATGAGAATCTAAACTAGACAATAATTATGAGACGGAGGGGAGTATTACTTTTTTTTTTCTTTTTGGATGTTGACATTTGAAATGACGAGGCAAATAAACGTCTAAAAGGGATTATTACTACGTACAGTCTAAAATGCCTATGCAATTCTTATATTATCATCAAGAAGTCAAAAACACAATAGATCGGGCTCCTACGTCGTCCACATATAGATTCTACACTAGAGATACCACATGCTTGTAGAATTTTATTAAATTTGCGAGATAATCAACAAGAAAGTTAATTTACTTTTCTAAGAGCTTTATGTAAATCTACCTACTATTTTCTTCGCGACATATTATGAACAACTCCAAAAGGGGTTCCCTGTCACCGACAATACTTGTGAATATTATCTTAATTATTATTACTAAGCAGTCCACAATTTTAATTGAAGAGAAAGCGAGAATCTTGGTTAAAGGATTAATTTAAATAAGGGAATTAGGTTTAAATAAGACAAAACAATAAGAACGAGGATATGGAAGACAGTTAAAACATCTTTAATCTGACATCTCGTACCTAGAGTAGGTAGAGTTGAGAACCTACCTGCTGTTTTGAACTCGTCTATTTGTTTTTTTATGCCTCCAAATCATTCCCAAATTTGAAAATTCTTGATCAGTGATTACTGATGTAATGAAATGAAATTTTAATTTTTCAACTTCTAGAAAAAAAAAAAAAAGGGCTTCCAAATGATGAGTATTTATGTGTAGTTTTTTATATGTACTAAAGTTAATAATATTATAAAAATTACTTTGTATTCGAAATAGCAGCTATATTTCGTAACACAACTCAACAATTCAATTCCAAAAGAAGAAGAAGAAGAAGCTAGAATTAGTGATAGTTGACTAGTTGATGAATTTCACAATAAACACAAGGAAGTAATTAAACAATGAAATTTAATCTAATTCTGATTTCATTTACGGTCATCGGTTGACCGGTTGATGTAGCGAAGCTAGGGTATGATGCACTTCTTGATATTGCGAGGAAGCTACTACTACTAGCAACGTTGTAGTACATGCAAGTGCCACGTTCACCTCCACTGAGGCACAATATTTAACGTAAAATTCTCTACTTTGTTCTTAATACTTACAATAAATTATATAATTCTTCGTCCGTCCAAAAATAATTATTTAAATTTTTATCTTTAGAATGAGCAATTATAATTTGCACAAAAAGTGAAATCTGGAATGCAATTATTATATTAGAAAAAATTACTGTTATATCCAAAAATAATTTGGTTTTTTTTTTTTTTTGATACAATGTAAGAGATGAAGTACAACAAAAGTGTCAATAATTTTGGACTAAAAAAATAGGATTCAAATTAAAAGAGACTCCATTTAATACAATCCCACCGAGCACTATCATTCAACCACATTAAATGCTCTTTTCCTTCTCTGTATTTAATGTTAGTCTGACTGGCTTGTGTTTCCATCCAAAGCACATAGAAAAGAAAACAGTCAAAGCTAAGAGAGAACATTTTTTTTTACAGAAGAAAGAAGAAAGAAAGATATGGATGATGAGAGTAGCAGTAGTAGTAGTAGTAATAGTGGTAGCAGAAATATGCACTTTAATGGTGTGTGGCAATTCATAAGGGAAGCCTTAGGTGTGATTCTGAAGTGGTTAGGGTTTTTTAATGTTACAAAATCGAAGTCATGTTGTTGCCAAAATGAGGACCGAAATGATGGTCAACATCCTTCATCATCATGCCCAGCTGATCCAGCTCAAGATCCGACTCCGGCTCCGACCAATGATGATCCACCACCACCACCACCACCTTCAAGTCTTGATGTTCCGGTTCAAGATCCAACTCCGGCCGATGATCCACCACCGTCGGCGGTGAGAATCCTAGAGCTTAATTATGAATCTATGCATATATTTTTTCCTTAATTAGTTTGAGTAATTGCATGGTTTATTGTCTTACATAAATTATATAGGAGGATTTGGGAAGGAGTGCTAGAAGAAGACCGGCAAGGCCAGGAATTAGCACCGGAAGTGGCCCGCAGACTAACGTAGTTCCTTCGACTACTCTACCGTAATTGCGTCCGAGCTTGTTCTTTTTGATGCAAAACAAAAATAATTATTTTAGGACAAAAGGAATATCTGTATCGTCTGAAGTAATTAATTTTTGACTATTAGCTAGCTTTTTATTTATGTGTGCATTTTTGTTTTTGCCCTTTTCGATTTCCTAATCAGATTGTATAGGGTGGTTTGGTAATAGCCTTCATGTTTTTGGAACGCTAATGAACATGGGAGCCGTAATTATTAGTTGAAAATTTGTCAATCATTTTATGATCAATATCTTAATATATTAATTTTCTGTTTGTGACTCACAGTCGTCATGGCTCGTGAATGTTCGAAATCAGAATTTCATGTACTAAAACACCTACGGAGTAAAAATTAAAAAATTATATTTCTCATTTTTTCTTTCTTTTACTACTCGTTGACCGGTCAGTTGATCGATGACTCAGATTTCTTACTTCTTTTTGAACGATTTCGTCCAAAGATATAGACTCAAAATGTTGTAGTATTTGAAGGATTGAAACTAAACATGAGAGAACTGCTAGGGTGTGATGGATTCTTGATGTTGCAAGTTCTAACGAAGTTATTCCACGTTGTAGCTAACTTCTCAGGAGTCCAAAGGCATAATATTTAAAGAAAAATTCGTATTTAGTTCTAATGTTCATCATATAAATTATACCACCATTATAGATATACATAAACTGTTTTAATTAGTATTTTTATGTTAATTTAATTAATAATTATTTCGAAACGTAGAGAATATGTGTACGGTAATGAAAAAGAAAACGAGAGACTGAGGGACTTTATTTAAAAAGAAAAGAAATACTCTCTCACTCACCCAAACTAAAAAATATTCTCTTCCTCTCTATTAAATGTTGTTTAATTAGCTAGCTCGTTTTTCAGAGGACAGAGGAAATACTCAAATACAAGATTCAAAGAAGAAAGAACATTTATAGAAGAAGAAGAAGAAAGGATATGGCGGATGGTAGTAGAAATATGTACTTTTATGGTGTGTGTAGATTCATGAGGGAAGCTGTTAGTGTTATAGTGAAGTGGTTAAGGTTTTTCGATGTGACCAAATCAAAACCAAGCTATGATCATGATCAGCATATCCTTCAGAACATCATCATCATGCCCAGCTGATCCAGTTCAAGATCCAACTCCGGCACCGGTTCCGACCGATGATGATCCACCACTAGGTCCACTACCATCGGTACCTCCAAGTATTGACGTTCCGGCGGATGCAACTCCAGCCGATAAACCGCCTTCGTCGTAAGACTATTATATTAGAGAGCTTAATTAATAATGTATATTACCTCCTTTTTATTATGTAAGTCCATTCTCTAAATTATCCATTACTTATGTCAATTTGTAAGTTCACTTAATTTTTTTCAATTTTAATTGTAGAATCTCAATATAAACAACAATGTATTAGAGTCCCCATAGAGAAATCAAATGGTGGTTCTAATGAATTTGTACAGTCTTACGATTTGTCCTTATTTCTGGTGTCATTTTGTGGACTGATTTACATTGTGCAAGATGAGGTGCTATTTTTGTTTTCTTTCCATTTTAATCAATTAATATGGTTGGTAACTTGGTCTATTGATTTTGATAGGGGGATACGGGCGGAGGAAGAAAACCAGTAAGGCCAAGAATTGGCACCGGACCTGGACCTCACAGTTTAAAAAACGAATAATACAGCCCCAGCATAGTGTTGTAAGTGTAAATGGAATTGTAAAACAATTATCGCTATGCAAATGAAATTTTTTCATCCCATATATTGTTCGGATACTTAACAGAATTACACTATTATTATTATTATTAATGTTTTTTGGTAAATAATAAACAAAAATAAGGCTAGAAGCCTCAAGTAATACAACCTCTATATATATATGATCTAATAAGTCTTGTTGTATTATTAGAAGAACTATATAACTTGGGGTTACATTAAAAATATATAAGCGTAGCTACTTTTTAGCCAAAACGTTTAGCAAAAAATTATGAATTTTTTTTAAGACAAAAATAATAATTAAATTACACTCTTATGACTCACAGCCGTCATGAATATTGTTGGAAACTCTAAACACACCAAAAGAAAGTAAGAAATTATAAATCTATTCTCACTTCTTTTTTACTATTAGTTGACCAACTTGATCGATCGATGTCAATATGTTCTTGTTCCTGATTTCTTGCTACGGTACAAAAATAGTTGGACATAAAGCAGTGTGGTATTTGAAGCATAAAACTAAATAATAAACATTGAATAACTAGCTATAGGGTGTAATATTCTTAATGTTGCAGTTGCAAAAGAGCTACTAACAACGTTGTTGTACATGCATGTGCCACGTTCTAACTCCTTGATTGAAGCCCTAATATTGATCTGGATTTTAACGTTCATGATATATAATTCTATTGTGTATGAGTGTGACATATTTCTTATACTATTTTAATCCTGCATGATTGAAGGGAATATAAATAGAGTAAGTGAAATATTAAAAAAAAAAGAAGAAGAGAGAATTAAAAAGGACAACCCAACCACATTAATCAAATTTCATATTCTCCTTTCTCTGTATTTAAATGTTTCTCTAGCGAGCTAGACTTCAAACCAGAGAGAGAGAGAGAGAGAGAGAGAGAGAGAGAGAGAGAGAGAGAGAGAGAGAGAGAGAGAGAGAGAGAGAGAGAGAGAGAGAGAGAGAAATCAGAGTCAAAGGAGAAAGAACATTTTTCAGAAGAAGGAGAAGAAGATATAGTTGTAGTAAGAAATATGTGCCTTTATGGTGTGTGGCAATTCCTGAGGGAAGCTGTAAGTGCAATTTTGAAGTATTTAGGGTTTTCAGTGTGACAAAATCAAAACCCTGCAGTGAAAATGAAGATATCATAAGTGATCATGATCCCGTTCAAGATCCCACTCCGGCACCGACTCCGACCAATGATGATTCAAGTATTGACGTTCCTGCAAAAGATCCAACTACAGCCGATAAACCACCATTGTCGGTAATAATGTTACTGCCTCCGTCCCAAAAAAAATAGTCCACGTTGAGTTCTTAAATTTGTACTAAAAATAATACAAAACTCAAAACTCAATATAGACTATTTTTGTGGGACGGAGGAAGTATATAATTAGAGAGCTTAATTATACAGTAGTATTTCCTTTTCATTTTAATCAAAATTATATATAGAAGATGGGTTAGTTTGGATTTAATTAATTTGTGTCTATATGGTTTGGATTGATTTTGATAGGAGGATATGAGAAGGCGTGCGGGAAGAAAACCAGTCAGGCCAGTAATTAGCCCTGGACCTTGTCCTCACACGGACTAATTTTTGTTTATTGGATTGTGAATCTTTTTTCCCAGTTTGGATGTAATTGTACTTTAATTTTTGGTAAATTTTGAGAGAAATTCTGCATTGATTGGCCACTATAATAATCGCGATGAAATGAAGAAATTGTCATCCTATGTTTTTTTTAATTTTTTTTTATTTCATTAATGGAATTATTTTAGTCGCAGCAGTTTTTCTTCAACACCCTTCAAACCTGCAAAAGGTTGAAGCTAACAATTCTTTTGACGGCCCATGAAACAGTGGTAAATGACTGAAAAGAAACAAAAGAAAATTCGATAAAATTTGAGATCTGATTTCAGATCTCCGATATATTGCATGCTAATTAAATTTTACCATGTATGTACTCTCTTTTTTATTTCAAAAATATGATCCAGTTTGTTAAATTCGAATAGTATAAAAGGTGAATTATTTTTTCGGAGAAATTATTCAGTGCAGCAGCTGCACCACATCAGCAGTCTTATGTGGTGCAGCAAGCTAACCAAACAAAGCAGCGCGTCCTTCAATTTCTCAGCCTTTTGATCTGGGTTCTCTTGTTCGCCCAATTTCCTCCGGTCGAACCCCCTAATTAAGAGCGTATTACATTAATACTAAAAATAGTTTCCATAATCGTTGTTGCCGTTGTTCCTGCCGGAAGAGAAAGAGTTGCCATGGCGCTCAATCATGAAAGGCGCGAGAAAATAATTTCTGAAAATTTATTTTTGATGAACGATCGTGGAATTCCTTTAATCTGCTCGTTTATGGTGTTTTTTCACCATAGAGAAACCGATCTCTCTTCCCAAATTCTATTTTTTCTCTTAATAATTTTTGCTTTCGGCTAATTCATGGGATGTCTAGAAGAAGCAAATTGGAACCCCAAATGTAATCAAGGTAAACCTCATTCTCAACTTGATTTTACTTTCTCCAGGATTTTTCATCCAAACTGTTTGAAGTTATGTTTGCCCATAAAATTTCAGAGCTTGGCAAATTTGTCGTTGCTCAAATTCTGTTATGCCTAATTATGACTGGATATCAATGCTTCTTAGAAGTTTCATGCATTAGTCATATATTAGTCAATATTAGTATTTCATTTCGCACTACTTATGAATGTATGTGTTGTCCTTATAATTAAGTTATGAGAATTTTTTCATGTAAAATAACGTATGTCATATCCTTGGCATACTCATCTATATTATTAGTTTAGCTTATGAAATTTATTAGAAACTTGTTGTTATGGACCTTGCTGTGATATGAAGTTTAGTTTTCATATCGTACCAAAGACTATATCATATAAAGTTGAATATGAAATTATGATTAAAATCACACTTTTGTTCATTTGAACTTTGCTATTAGTGAAATTATGATTTGTAATTGAGCATTTTTATGATCATTTTCATTTGAACCTTGCTGATAAGTTTTTATCATTTTCAGTTGATTTCCTTTTGTCTCTTTGCTTCTTTTCAGGTTGCAAGTGGAAGACCCTTGGAAGCTAGCTAGTCAAGCTAGCATGCCATATAATCCCACATCGGTGGGTGATGATGATGGTGATCGGTTTATAAATCTAAGCTAGCTGGTCTACTAATAACTTGGGTTAACCATTTTGGGTACATCGAGGACGAACACCCAAATAGTTATTGAGACAGAGCTGACAGTTGGGGTGTTACAATTAGTATCAGAGCCGACCTAGTCTGGATGTGGACCCACCTCTGAGCTCACACGTAGGAGACAAGTGCTGTGTGACACCTCTGAGCTCATATGAGGTGTGGGACAAGTGAAACGCATCTGTTCTAGGGGAGCCTGAGCCAATTGTATGTGCTGTGTGTTGTGCTGTGTGTTGCTGTGTGTCTTGGGCCTTGCATGCATGCAAGGATCCGAATGGGGGGTCGAGTGTGAGACCTGTGAAAGCTAGCTAGTCAAGCTAGCATGTCATTTGATTCCACATCGGTGGGTGATGACGATGGTGATCAGTTTATAAACCTAAGCTAGCTGGTCTACTAATAACTTGGGTTAACTATTTTGGGTACAACAAGGACGAATATCCAAATAGTTATTGGGA